CAGGAATTAGACCCAAGGGCCTGGGGGTAGGGCCTCGGCGGGGGCGGGCCCGGGCCGGGGCGGAGCCCGGGGCGGAGGGAGGCTTCTGGCGCCGGCGGCGTCCCAGCTGGGTCGGGACCGCGCTCGCCCAGCCTTCGCCGCGCGCCTCAGCCCCATGGACGCCCTGTGCGGCTCCGGGGAGTTCGGCTCCAAGTTCTGGGTAAGGAGGTGTCTCGGGTCCGAGCGCGCGCCCCGGAGCGCCTCCGAGACCGCACTGGGGAGGGGGCCGAGCGGCGCCGGGAGGGTGCAGACCGCCCCGCTCAGAGCCGGTCCCTCGGGGCGCCCGGGACGTGCCCTGCCCTGCCCTCCCCCGCCGCGTGGAGGAGCTGGGACCGCGGCGCTCGGCTCCTGGGGCGCAGTGGGTGGCGTTCGGAATCGGAAGCTGCCCCCACTTGCCGCCTAGCCTGGGGCTGGCCGCAGGGTGCAGGCTGATGGCCCCGTCCCAGGGCGGTGGAGCTCTCCTACACCTGCCCCTGGCCCAGGGCATCCAGGGTTGTTGTTCAACCAGGTTTTGGGGAGGTTGGCTCCACTGGACTCTGCCCTTCTTGTAAGGGTTCCTGCCACCTTCCTTTCTGGGGGCAAGAGCAGCTGGAGAGCAGGCGGCCCTCACTGCCCTGGGCTGGGGAGGGAGAGGCAGGCCCTTACAGGTCCCAGAATCACCTGGGCCAGCGGCCGCCTACAGATGGGAAAGGGAGGCCCAGCGAGAGGAAGGGACTTGCCTAAGTCACCTCTTAGAGGAGCGCAGAGCTGGACTAGAAAAGCCGGCCTTTTGTGGATACACCGAACCCCTTTCTAAGCCGTCAGGGTGCTTTCCAGCGCTGACTCCAGGCCCCAGGAGCTCCGGTGCATTCCCTGTCAGTCCCGAGCTTTCCAGCAGCTCCCGGCCCACGGAGGGCAGCCCTGGGAGGCACGTGGTGCCGTGTCTCCATTGTACAGATGGGCTCAGATTTAAAGGGCTTGTGTGTGGTCGCCCAGGCAATGCCCAGCATAGGCTGGTCCCAAATCCGGGGCCTCTGGACCTGTGTCTCTAAACCCTTTCCCATTTCAAGTATTTGGACATATATGCCTCGTGTGTGTGTGCCCAGTGTGTGTTACCATGGGTGTGTATTTGTGTGTGTGTTACCTGGGTGTGTGTTACCTGTGTGTGTGTGTGTGTGTGTGTGTGCATAAGTGTGTCTATACAGGCAGGAACCCCACTAAGGGCTGTGTGCGGAATGGGCTGTGGGGGTTACATGGATTTTTGAAACTTGGGGCGATGGAGCACCTGTAAAAAAAAGGAAAGAGTATCTTTGGAGAATCTCTCTTTCTCTCTGGTCACTGAAGGGTTAACCGGAGATGATGTGACTTTTCTGGAGCTGCTCTTGTTGCCCACCCACCGCACATGAGCACCGGCTGTCACTCAGCCTGGACTGGGCTCTCCTCACCAGGGTCGGATGGTTGCACCTTTGGCTCCTGAGTACCCCGTTGACCCTTGAACAGTGCAGTGGTCAGGCGTGCTGACCACCCTTGCAGTTGAAATCTGTGCATAACCTAAGTCGGCCTCCCAAACGCAGTACATGAATTCCCAACCACGAGCTAACCCTTAAACAATGTGGGTTTGAACTGCGCCTTTCCATTGAACTGAGTGGATCAATGGGAAATATTCTGCATCTGAGTGGACCCCGGAAGTTCAAAACCCGCGTTATTCAAGGGCAAACTGTATGTCCTTTCTCTGCCCACCTGAGCCTGGCTGGGGTGGCTGTGGCATGGCCATGACATCTGGGTGACCAAGCAGAGGGCTTGCAAATCAAGGGGGCAGATGCGTCCATGCCTCAAGTGCAAGGGCCCCCTGTTCCTGAGTGGACAGTGACCCTGAGAGCTTAGGACTGTTTGGAGATAAGCTTTGAGGAACTTGGAGCTGGGATACTCAGGATTCCCTTCCTGTTCCAGGCTTAGAGATCCTTTGACTCTACCCTTCCCTGATATTGGAGAACTCAAGAATCAGAGCGTGGGGGCTTGGAGCAGCTAGCCCAGCCTCTCATTATAGAGCTGGGGAAGCTGGGTGCCAGGGAGGGAACGGACTTGTCAGGGTCACACAGCACTCAATTGCAGGGTGCTGGACTGGGGAGCGGGACCCCTGGGATGTGGTCTCAACTTTGCCATTGCCTGTCTGTGCCCCTTTGGGCTTCTGGGCCTCCTTGTCCCTGAACTTCTCGTGGCTCGTGAGCTGTGTGTATCTGCTCTGAGGACCTCAGGGTTCATGGGAGTCACCACATCTATATTAGGTCTGAGGGATGTCATCTATGTGGGGTGTCTGCTCGGATACCTCAAAGGACAAGGGAAGTGACTCTTCCTCACCGCAGTCTCTATACACCCTCCATCTCCCAATGATCTTCTTGGCTCCTGAAAGCTGTTCCCAGCTGCACCCAGTGTGGCTGGTGACAGAGGGCGGGGCAGGGAGAAAGCAAGAAGGTTCCCAGCTCATCCTCCAAAGGTTTGCACAACTGAGACAAGGGAGGGTCTGAGGCCAGGGAAGGCTGGAGCTACGGCCTCAGCTCTGGCTCAGTTACCCAAAACGCCTGGAACCCTGGGCTACTCGTGTGTGGTGCGCTAATCTGCATTTCGTATTATGCAGGTACATCTGCCCCTGAATCTTTTCTCTTAGGGGCTTAGGGGTGAGCTACCTTGTGGGAAGTAGTTCAGGGCACCCAGGAAGTTCCGAGACAGGAGTGGAAATGTGGGGGCGAGCGTAGGCCTGGTTCAGGCCCCTCTGAGCCACTGTTTTCTCTACCAAGTCTTTTCACCAGCTTAGCCTCACAGCCTGTTTTCCCACCTGGGAAATTTCAAAATAACCCGTCTCCTAACCACCTCGGAAGATTCTTGTGGCGATCAAATGAGATAGGGAATGTGAAATGACACTGAGAACGAACATTCCTGGGAAGAAGAGTGACGAGAAAGAGAAATGAAGTTAGAAGGGAGTGTTAGAGCTGGCATGAAGTTAGAAGGGAGTGTTAGAGCTGGCAAGACCTACAAGAAAGGGGCTGGCAGGGTCCTTGGGCCTTGCTGGGGGCTAAATCTGGTGTATGTGTGTTCCCCCACGTCCTGCGTGGTTTAAGGTTCAGGATCTGGAAGAGGAGCCGCACACAAATGAAAGAGGAGAGACAAGAGATAATTTGGAAATATTGGGGGGCCAGGCGGGCAAGTCCAACTCAAGGGGAAGGACCTCCACTGGTGCCCAGGCTTCGCCAACCTTTTATTCAACTTTGGTTAAACATAAAACCCTTAGTCAGGCAGGTAATTGCAGTAATAGACAGGCTATCATAAAGGTCAGTAAATATTAGAAGGATTTACTCTGAGACTATTTGGTTAGGAAATAGCTTGAGCCCCCATTGTTAGGACTAGACAATCGGTGCATAACTCAGGCCCTGCCGTGGGTTCAAGGATCACCAGCCTTCCGGGATCCTTGTTTGCACTTCTCTGCTAGTGAAGACAATGGGCGGCCTCCTGCATAAATCCATCCATTTCAGCCCCAGATGAATCTGAGGGGAGCAGACTCAAGGGGACCCACACCTGTGCACCCACACACCATGTACTGGGTGGATAGTTTATCTCTTTTTTTAAATCTCTCTCTCATCTCTACCTACTCTGGGGCAGATTACCAACATCTCTGAGTGTGCCTTAGGAATTCATATAGAAAAAATTTCTAAAAGAATAAATTACAACCAAATTGCTCAAGGCTCATGAAGATAGAGATGCCGACAGAACAAAGGAGGTGGGGATGTTCCTTGGCTGCACCCTCCTGTCCCCTGCCTGGAGGACTGCTCTCTGTTCTGAGCAGCAGCCAGGGGGTGAAGACAGTGCATGGAGAAGGGCCGGATGTTTACCCTCAGAAGGCCTTGACCTATTTGCAGAATCAGCCTTGACCTGATGGCCCAGGAAGCCCCTGGGAGGCTGATGATGGCTGCGCAATCTGAAGGTCCTGGCCGTCAGAGCTGTCCAAAGATGGCGATGTTTGCCTGACAAGCAGTGAGCTCCCCGTCACTGGGGGCATGCAAGCCCATGATGAGTGACCACTTGCGGGGATGGCAGAGAGAAGATTCAAGTCAAAGAAGGAGTTGGGGTCTCACCCTGAAATTCCAACAAGAGAGAGGGAAGACGTGGCCAGTGAGAGGTTGGCTGGTCCTTCCCCTGAGACGGCCAGACCTCTCTTTCCCTGGCGCTCTCCCCACTTCAGGCCTGGAGTTTGCCTAGTAGCAGCTCTGGGTAGAGGCCCCTGGGTCTCTCACTGGTCAGGGGCCGGCACGTCCACTGTCCCCTTGACTCTTTACCCACCCCCGGGGGTGGCAAAGCCCTAGTCCCTCAGAGGCTCAGCTCCCTGTGTCTCCTGCTCTGTTCCAGCTAGTCCCAGCTGTCACTCACTAGCTGTGTGACTTTGGGTGAATCACTCACTGTCTCTGGGCTCCAGCTGAATTTACGTAGTAGGTGGACTCTGGGGCCCCCTTCAGGTCTAGTTGCCCAGTGCGGGTTCTGCGAGCCTGAGCCTCAGGCTTGGGGAAGGGAGAAGGTGGCCAGGCCAGGATTCGGGCTTTCAGGCTCCTGGGTATCCCTGTCTCCCCAGGCTTTTCCTCCTGGGTTGCTTCCTCGCCCGCCCGAGTAGGCGGCTACCGGAACTTATGAGTAATGGGCGAGACTGATTCCAATGTACTTTGACTCTCAAATAAAGACAGTGGCATGCGAAGCTGTGGGAAACTGGCATTGGCAGGGCCCCTAAGGTCGGCAGGTGGGCACCAAAGCTCCTCCCTCAGGAACCGGTCTCCCCGGATTCCAGGGCCCCTAGAATCTCCTGCCTCCATCCCAGCTGGGGATGGTGAAGCTGGGGTTGGGTGGCTTTAAATTCTGGGTTCCTGGCTGCCGGTGGGAGGATTTGGTCCCCGTGGCCCCAGGCTGGCTGCTTCCCAACCTGCTGCTCCCTCACTTGGGGAAGGAAATGAGTCAGGGAAGTAGCATTTGGGAGGGAACTTTGCCAAGGCCGTCTGCTGTCCCTGAGACAGAGAAATGCTCTCGGGGCACCAGGCCAGCCCCCAGGGAGGGGGGTCCCGGCGGAGACTGGCACTGACCCACCTGGGAGGCAGGAGCCTGGGCTCTGTCCACCCCACCCTGGTGGGACTGTCCCGGGCCGCAGGTGGAGCCGGATCCCGGGGGAGGGTTGAGACTTGGGTGCGCCCGCTGCTGGGTGGCTGGGCCTCTCCCCTCCCCCACCTGGGGCTAGTTCTCGCCAGGGGCGGTGCTGGGGGAGAGGGATAATTGAGGCTTAACCTTCGATTGGCTTTCTCCTCCTAACTGGATAGTCAGGTTTCCAGTGCACCGGCTCCCAGGACCCAGCTAGTCTGTTACTTCCATGCAGCCCCTTCCCCTCTGTTCTGTAAGCCAGGAGGTGATTGGGGTGGGGGGTGGGGGGTGGCTGCAGGGCTGAAAGCAGATTTTTCATGTTTCAGGTGATCTGGACACGTGTCCTATCCCCAAGGCGGGGTGTCATGCTGGAGTTCTACAGGGTACAGAGGAAGGACCCTAGAACCCGGGGTTCGGGGTGGGGACTCTGGCGCTAGACTGCCCGGGTTCCTGCCCCGGGGTCAGCCCATGGGAGCTGGGGCCGGTCACTTGCCAGCCGAGGGTCTCAGTGTGGTGAACATGAAAGGATAATCCTGGGACACAGTGGTGCTCAAATGACCGAAGTTGCTGTGAGCCGGCACATTTCAGAAGTGGCCAGGCCAGCCGGGCCTGTGAGCCATAGCCCCCCCCCCCCCCGCCACCACCATCACCCCGCACAGCCAGGCTTTGCCCCCCACCCAGGCCCTTCCAGAGGCGGCTGTTTTAGCCCCAGGAGGTCACTGAATGTGAATGGGGATCAGAGCCCTTTCTGCACCTCCATTTCTGCTGAGATACATGAACTTGTCGGTTGATCCCTTCTCCCGCTTCTCCCCACCCCACAGGATTAAGGAAGTAATTACTCTTCTGATGATAGAGGCTGTCAACAAGTCTGGGGTGGCGGTGGGGGCTGGGAAGTCCCTGACGGAGTGTGGCCAGCTGGCTCAAAGGGCTCTGGGGTCCTCAGTCCCACCTGCCCCCAGCTGGGGTCTACAGGGATTTCAGCCTCAGTGCCCAGGCAGGGGCCCTTGTAAGATCCATCAGCTGTTCAATCGCATTATTAAGGAAGCTGTTGCTGCTGTGGGAACTGTGTGGGTGACAGCTGTGGAGTGAGTGAGGGAGATAAGGTCAAAGAGGCGCGGGAGAGGCCTGGCTGGTGGGCTCAGTGGTTAGTGTTGGCCCGTGCACCGAAGGTTCTCAGATTCGATTCCCGGTCAAGGGCACGTACCCGGGTTGCAGGTTCGATTCCCAGCCCTGGTTGGGGCATGTGTAAGAGACAGCCAATCAATGTGTCTCTCTCATATTGATGTTTCTCTCTCTCTTTCCCCCAGTTCCTCCCCCCTCCCATTCTCTCTAAAAATCAATGACAAAAATATCCTCAGGGGAGGGTTAACAACAACAACAGCCTTAGCCGGTTTGGCTCAGTGGATAGAGTGTCCGCCTGTGGACTGAAGGGTCCCAGGTTTGATTCCAGTCAAGGGCAGGCTCGATCCCCAGTAGGGGGCGTGCAGGAGGCAACTGGAAAAGACTGCCGGGCAAGTGGCAGGGGTGGGAGCAGGAGCCCAAAGCGGGGGCTATGGCAGGTGGGAAAGCGGGCGGAGAGAGTCAGTAGGATTCTGGATACGTCAGGGAGACCCAGATGAAGTTGCCTTTTTATAGATAAGAACCTTCGACTACAGCACTCTCATCTCGTTCACCCTGACCATTTGAAGGTACTGATCAGGATTTGCTGGAGGGTTGAATGTGGGGTGTGACAGAAAGAGAAGAATTAAGGATGATGACTCCAAGGATCTGGCCTGGAGAAGGGAAGCGTTACCATCCGGCGAGGTGGGCAGGCTGGAGAGGAGGGGCTGGGCGGGAGTTCAGTTCTGGACTTGCGGCACGGAGCACATCCCATCGGCGTCCGAGCTCTGAGGACAGAGGCCTGGATGGGCACCCGCTGCCTTCTGGAGGGGACTCTGCCCAGCTGAGACATGCTTATCTGAAGGCACGGAGCCCAGGCCGGACCTCCCGGTGGGCCAAAGCAGCCGCTGAGTCCTCACGCCCCCAACATCTCGTGATTGCTGTCACAATGCAGGCTGTCTGTGCAATCAATCGAAACCAAGTCCCCACTGCCTCTTGCTCCATCGCCTGCTTCCCTAAGCGTTGCCCTGTTTGAGTCAAGAGACTCTGCTGTGGGGAGCTGCCCAGGATGCTGTCATCACTCCCGTTATGACTCACACGTGGAGACTGATGTTCAGGGAGATGAAGGAGCTCGCCCATGGCTCCCTCGTCCAAAAGTGACAACCCTCACGGATCCTCCGCATCAGGTTCTGGTTCTTCCTGTGGTCACACCCCGCCCGCCTCAAAGAGCCGTGCCGCTGACTTGCACACCTATGCAGGGATTTCCTGCCATGCCCTTGAACTCGGGCTCCCTTGTCAATCAATGTGTAGGCCATTTCTGGGCTCCTCCTGCGTATCTGGCCCTGTGCTGGAAGTTGGAGGATGTGGACAGGGAATAGGGCCTCGTGTCTGTCCTCAAGGGCTCACGTTTCTATAGGAGAGAGGATGTGTTCCTAGGCACAGGGGGCGTGGCCTGGGAGAAACCCCAGTTTGGTATCACAAGGCTGGGTGTCCTTGCACCTGTTACCGGAGCAGGGGAAGCCCTGCTTATGTCTTTTGCGAGCTGGGCCTAATACTGTTCCTCCCCTCTACTTCCGGAAGTTGTTCTGAATCAACCAGCCAGTTAATGACCACGTAAGTGCCACTGAAACATAAGGGACCTTTACCTGGCTGCCAAGGCCAGGCAGGATGAAGCAAAGAAAAGCTCCTCTGGAGGCTGGGGAGCCCCAGAAAGGCTTCCTGTAGGAGGTGAGGCTCAGGTTGGACCCAGAGAGATGGGACATGCACTGCAGGCTTGGAGACCTAACAGTCTGAGTTAGGGGTGGCCTTGGACAGGCTCCCGGAGGGCATCTAAGTGGATGGGCTTAATGGGCTCGCTGAGATGATGGTAGAATGGATACATATATGGGTCCATTCACACAACAGACCACTAGGCAGTAATGGGGACGGGGTGTCCTTACACTCAATCCCAAGGTCACACCACTCGAAAGAGGTACAGCCAGTTGTAGTGAACTTTGCAATGAACAACACATCCATGGTCTAAAAGTGTAAACTTTGAATATTTATTTAACAAAAGTTCTGTGATGTTTCTACACTGGAAGGATGAGGACGCTCAAGAGACTAGGCCAGTGATGGCGAACCTATGACACACGTGTCAGAGGTGACACGCGAACTCATTTTTTTGGTTGATTTTTCTTTCTTAAATGGTATTTAAATATATAAAATAAATATCAAAAATATAAGTCTTTGTTTTACTATGGTTGCAAATATCAAAAAATTTCTATCTGTGACACGGCACCAGAGTGAAGTTAGGGTTTTTCAAAATGCTGACACGCCGAGCTCAAAAGGTTCGCCATCACTGGACTCGGCCATAAGAGAGGCACAGCCTCACCTTCCAAAGCAAAAGCAAATAGTGATTATCAAATCATCGTAAATCAGATAATAATAGTAAAAGCAAATTGCTTAGACTATGGAAGTAGGTGCCAGAAGAAAGTTAGCCCGTTTCAACGTATTTACCCCTGGGAAAGGAACTCAAAGGGGGGTGATGAGGCAAGGCACCATTTTCGTTTTCACAGTTTGACTCTTTAAATTATGTGCATGTATAACTTTGACAAAAATAAAAATGATAATTATGTCGATTTTCAATTAAAAGGTGGGGGGTTAACAGTTGTTAACAGTTGTCTCTAGGTAGATGAACTGTGGGTGGTGTTTTATTATTTACTTTTGTTTGTTTTATTGTTTTTTCTTTGTGCGGGTGGGTTTTTTAAAAAAAATTGTTTGTATTTTCTGGACTTTCTGTAAAGAACATCTAATTCGTTGCCAGAAAGGAAAAAAAGATTCGTTGACTGATGGGCTTGGAGGAGACAATCCCAGTAAAATATGTGTTTGCATGTATTCCTCCATCTCTTTCCAAAAAAGTTCTTAGGTGGAGTTAGAGTCAAAGACAAGAGTAGGTTCTTGTCTGGACTCACTGCCTCCCCGGGGCACCGGGCTTTTGGTGCTAGAACCAGGACCCTCCCACGCAAACCAAGATGGCTGGCCACCCTGGGCTTGGTCATTCACAAAGCTCTCTCCGCATCCTGTTGCTCCTCTGAGCTTACACCCACCCGGTGAGGTGGGTGGTGGGGGGTGGCCTCCCTCATTTTCAAGGAGAGGCATGAACTCTCAGGGAAGCTCTCTGGCCCATCTTGGGAGAGGCTGAGCATGGAACTGGGCTCTTCCACCAGGTGCCTGTGTTGTTCTGATAAAATAAAAAATTAAATTTGAAAACGAGTAGAACTCTAGAATGACAGAGAGCAGGTCAGTGGTTGCCAGTGGGATGGGCTGTAAAAGGGAGCTTGTGGGATGATGGGAGTCTTCTCCGTCTTTGTGGGGGCAGTGGCTTTGCGGTTGTGCACCACTGTCACGCCCATTGGGCCGTGTACTCTAAACGGGTGCAGTTTATTGTACTTACATTAAACCGCAGTTGAGAGAGAGAGAACACGAGGAAATGGGGCAGCCAGGACCTCCTGGGGGAGCTCACACTTGGGACAACACGCACTTGTTTGCACACCTACTCTCTCATCTTCACCCCCCTCTGACCCCGTGCACATGGAGTGTCCCTTTGGCCCTGGAGGGAGAGCCCAATTCTGCAGGAGGCGGCCAGAGCACTGAACTGTTCCCTCTGCCCCCAGGACGCCAACCTGTCCTTGCACACAGACAACCCGGACCTCACTCCCTGCTTCCAGAACTCCCTGCTGGCCTGGGTGCCCTGCATCTACCTGTGGGCCGCCCTGCCCTGCTACCTGTTCTACCTGCGGTACCACCACCAAGGCTACATCGTCCTCTCCCTCCTCTCCAGGCTCAAGACGGTCAGGGGCTCCGGGCTCTCCTGCGGGTGGGGCTGGGGCCCCCCGGGAGGGGGGTTCTTTTTTGAATGAGTCCCTTCCCCCACCCCCTCAGCAGCTAGACAGGAGCCATGGGGCCATGGCAGCTTGCCAAGTGAGTCTGCAGCCAACTGATATAGTCCCTGCTTGGGGAGGTGCAAGCAAATTTTCCATCAGGGCTCTCCCACCCTCGAGAAGCTTCCAACCCTCAGGGCCATCCCAGCCTTCAGGGCCAGGCCCAGGCAGGTCTGGTAGCTTCAGGAGCAAGAAGTGATCGTCCCTACCTCTGGTCATGTTCGCTCCAACTTGTACCCTATTTCTAGGTCTTGGGTGTCCTGCTGTGGTGCGTCTCCTGGGCTGACCTCTTCTACTCCTTCCATGGCCTGGTCCACGGCTGGGCCCCCGCCCCCGTCTTCTTTGTTACCCCCTTGGTGGTGGGGGTCACCATGGTCAGTGGGGGACCCTGGAAGCTGAGTGGGGGAGGGTCTCCAGTGGGTTGTGGGATTGTGATCAGGGAACCATGGGCTCTGAGGAGAACCTGGATACCTTAGCAGTGGGAAGAGGATGGGGGTGACCCCACAGACATCTGACCGTGGGATGGGGAGGAAGCGAGGCAAGTCCAGATGTGTGTGTGCTCTAGCCCCGCTTCCCCTGCCCTCCCTGCACAGCTGCTGGCCACCCTGCTGATCCAGTACGAGCGGCTGCAGGGGGTGCAGTCCTCGGGGGTCCTCATCATCTTCTGGTTCCTGTGTGTGGTCTGCGCTATCATCCCCTTCCGCTCCAAGATCCTTTCAGCCATGGAAGAGGTAAGGAGGAAGAGGGACACCTGCCGATCCAGACCTGTCTAGGAGGTGAACTCAGTCAGGGTCAAGGTCATTGCTGGTCCCAGGCTCCTGCCCTCTGCCCCTCCCTGGCTCCCAGGACTTCCTCTGGGGTTCGGTCCTTTTTGTGTTGTTCTCTACTTGCTGTCTCTCTGCTGCGAAGCAGAGTGGGGAGGGGGGGTCAGGCTGAGGACCAGTGTAACTCAGGGGAATGGGGCCATTGGGGGGTATTCATGGGAGTGCAGGGGGCTGTTCTGTAGCCGCCACCAATTGCCAGTTTCTGTGTGAAGACACACAGGCTGGGCTAGTCTTGGCTCACCTGGAAGTCCCAGGATCTTGTTGTCCCCTTTCTTCCCACCTTCCTCCGTTCCTGGCCTTCCTCTTGATCTGCGGGGGGTGATGGTGGGTGGAAGGAAATCTAGCATCTCCCCATTTCTCCATCTCAAGGGGAGGCCGTCAAGTACATTCATCAGCACAGGCTTGGAATAATCCACTTACTCTCTGTGTGATGGGCAAATTCTTTAGCCTTTTGGAGCTTCCTTTCCTCAGTTGGAAAGTAGGTGTCAGACTTCCTACCTTGTAGGGAGACAAGGAAGGTTGGACAAGGTGATGCAGGTGAGGTGTTCGGCACAGTGCCTAAGGCAGGGCAAGTCCCCACTGATCAGGGGCCCCCTCTGACCGGCCCCCCCCCCCCTTTTGTAAAGGGAGGGGAAGAGTTTTCCCTACATTAACGGCGTGTCCCGGCCCACGTGACAAACATAACCACGATGAAAAGTCTTTTTTTGTTTGACCGGGGGGGAGGTTTCGTCTCCCTTTTCCCCCCGATATATTGGTCTGCCGAAAAAAAAATAATTTGTGTGTACCACGAGGCCTGTGTGAGGGCCGGCGGAGAGCACGATGCTTTTATTCCATTAGTATGTGTGTGCTCTC